AATCCTTTGGTATATATATACCAAAGGAATAAATACTTAAGTAATAGATTATGAAGTGAGCTTCAAACCACTTTTGTATCAAATGGCTAGTAAGTGGAGAGGAATAGGTACAGGGAATCCAGCTGTTCTGTGTTGCCAGTTTCGCTAACCAGCCTGAGTATTGACTCTCTGCAGCTTTCTACATAGTGATCTTAAGACCATCCTGGATTATGTGAGACTTTGTCCCCCAAAAAAGAGGGGAGACGAAGTATAGAAGGAGGAGGAAAGAAACAAACAGACAGATAGGAAGAAAGAACTAGCTCACTGTCTGCCCATGTGTCCCTAAAGTCTATTATTATATCTTGGACTGAGTTTTGTAACTGGAGATAATATAATGTATGTTCACCTTTGCTGGGTGACCTCATGTGAGTGTCTTTATAATCCAAGTTTATTAATAACATTTGACCGTGTTATCAAGGATTGAGTGAGCATGGCAAGTCATTTGCTGGTACACTTCTAAATTGATAAGCATTCATTGTGAAACTGGGTCTGCAGATTTCCAAGCATCGTTCCTCCTCGTGTGACCCTACTTCCTGAGTGACCTTTAAACCCCTGCAAAACAGCATGAGAAGCGAATAGGGAAACAGAAACTTTCCAATCACAGGAGAAATACAGTCTGGACATAATACAAATAGACAAAGATGCCAGAAAGAAGAACTTGTAGGATAGGTGAACAAAATGCTGGATCCTGACATCTGCTAACAGTGACTTCTTCTAGAATTTTGTATATCACGCCTGTCATAAACATTCAACTTCGTTGTGCAATGAAGACAGATGACAAGAATTTGCTCTTCCAACAGAGGGGGAAAAAAAAGAGTCACTTTCTTATGTCCTTGGAATCTGACTTCCCTGGTTCCAAATACGCAAGGAAAAACTTGTGCCTGTGTGCAAGGGCTGAGGGCAGTTGTTTATGTGACTAATTGGACATCCACATAAATATGGAAATTGGGGCAGGTCCCTCTATTGTCATCTGTTATAAAGCCAGTGCTTACTCTAAAGTGAAGAGGCGAGCAGACTGGAGGGAGATGAACCATTTAGCTGTCCTTTGATGACTTTCTTACATAAGCTTCAAGGTCACAGAATGTTCTCCATTTTGTTTCCAAGTAACAAGAGGAAAATAAACAGCCCTGAGAAGTCACTTATCAAGAAGGGAAGGGGCTTGGGAAGGTTTTAGATTCGGGGAGAGCTTTGTGGATGTTGTCAGATGGAAACATAAAGTGGAGATCGAAGACAGAGGGATGGGCCAGAAATACCCCAGGAAGTTGAAGGGCATTGAATAGGGAGTTGACTGTGGGCAGGAGGAAAGATAAATCTTCCTCAATGGGTGGTAAGAGGACAGTCAAGGACAGTCACAAAACATTTAAGCAGCAAGAAAAAGGAAGCTGAGGGAACTCAGATAGCTTATCATCAAGTCAGGTGTTTCCTTCTAGCAGGGCTGTAAAGAAGACGGTTTGGAGATAGTTTGGCCCAGTCCAAGTGGAGAACACAATAGAGTAAGGTTGTATAAAAACTTATTCTTATCAGCACTTCTCAACTTGTGGGTTGAGACCCATTTGGGGATCGAATGACCCTTTCGTAGGGGTCACCTGAGACTAGCGGAAAACACAGATATATACACATGATTCACAATAGTAGCAAATTATAGGTATGAAGTAGCAACAAAAGTAATTTTATGGCTGAGATCACCACAACATGAGGGACTGTACTAAAGGGTCTCAGCATTAGGAAGGTTGAAAACCACTGCCTTAGATCATGTGTTTGAAATTCTAGAGCTAGCCAATGCTCAGTGGTCATTAACGCTAAGGATGTTACTTTGTGAGCATTGAATGGAGGCCATTCATTATAGTTGAACAGATCAACATATAGCCAAGGTACCGATGAAAGTGAGGGAGAATTTGCCATTTTCCGCACGGGCGTGGGACCCTGATACTCAGGAAGCTGAGGCAAGAAGATCACAGGGACGGTTGGCCTTGTCATATATAACAAGATCCAGGATAGCCAAACAGATGGTGAGACACTGTCTAAAAATAAGCAACGACGACAAAAAAGACAAAAAAAAAACCTGCAGCAAGTGAATGAATAAACATTCCAAAGGAACACCCTAAGAACCCTCGCTTGATGTGGTGATGCAGCATTTGTAGTAATCATGAGGACTTGGAGAGTGCAGCTGGGACAACTCTCACAGCCACCAGGCAACTTTCCATCCAGCAGAGAGAGGCATTACCAGGTAGAAATCTTACCCTAGCACTGGATCGGCTTTCTTGAATGTCCAACCTGAGGCCTGTGGGCTATCTGTGACCCAGAATAGCAGTGGATTTGTCTCAACATACTTTCAGAGGACAACATTATTCCATACTGTCAAAAGACAGGATGCCTCTGTATGTCATGGAGGTTAAAGGGGAAGAAGATGGGGGAATCAGAAGAACCAATCAGTGTCAGTTTCTGTAGGGATCAGCATGACAGCAAAGCAACCTGTCTACCTTTAGGTCTGCAAAGGTTTAGCAGAGTTCCCGTGTGTCTCTCTCTTCTGACTTAGACTTTGGACATTCTAAAGAAGTGCAAGGCCCCTGCTTAGCATTTGATTTGTAACTATTTCCTCAATGTAACCAATCTTGGAGGATGACTCAGTCTGTAAAGTGCCTACTACACAAAGACTACAGAAAATGGTCCATGAAGATATGAGTTCAATTCCCATTACCGACATAAAGAGCCAGGTGTACCAAATACCCTTATAAATCCCAGGGCTGGGGAGACAGTAATAGGAATATGCCTGGAGTTAATTGGCCAGCCAATCTAGCTAATTCCAAACTCCTGATTCAGAGAGAAACTTTGCCACAAGGGAAAAAAAAGGAAAGGAAGGGAAAGGAAAGGAAAGGAAAGGAAAGGAAAGGAAAGGAAAGGAAAGGAAAGGAAAGGAAAGGAAAGGAAAGGAAAGGAAAGGAAAGGAAAGGAAAGGGAAAGATTAGGTTTCCATGGCCTCTCCCTCTTTTTCTCCCTCATTCTCTCCTCTCTCCTTCTCTCTGAAGCCTACATTTCTCCTCCTACTTATTCTCTCTGCCTGCCTGCTCTGCCTATCCCTCTACTGCCAAACTATTGGCCATTCAGTTTTTTATTCGACCAATCAGGTGCTTTAGGCAGGCAAAGCAACACACCTTTAAATCATTAGACAAATGCAGCATAAACAAATGTAACACACCTTTCCGTACTTAAAGTAGAATTCCACAACACACTGTGTTTGGGTAACAGAAGGCATTCCTCGGAGATGTTTGCCTCACTCTGAACATACCTATTTCCCTTTTCCTTAGCCAACTTAATAGACTTTATGTGAAAGACATCTTTACACAAAAAGTATTTTCTGCTATAGGAGAACAAAGTCTAGCAAGCTCTTCATTTCTTTCCGTGTGCTTTATTTCTTGCCGGTGAATGAGTTCTATATGGAAGGCTTACCTTACCTAACTGTAGTTCAGTAAAGCTTTGGGAAGGCAGAGGATGGCTTGCTCCATCCTCATCCACCAAGTCTCTTCTCATGACTTTTCTGAATGCAACTGCAGTAAAGCCAGCAGTGATCTCAGAGGATCAATAAGGTGGGTTAACTATAGTAATATTTAATTATGTTTTATAAATAAAGCTTGCCTGAAGAGCAGAAGATAAAAACTAAGCCAATAGAGGCCAGGCAGTGGTGACACACACCTTTAGACCCAGGATTTGGGAGACAGAGGCACATGGATCTCTGTGAGTTCATGGCCACCCTGGGCTACACAAGATCAATGCAGAAACAGATACAGGTGGTGGTGGCTCACACCTTTCATCCCAGTACTAGGGAGTCACATGTCCTTAATCCCAGCACTAGAGAGGAATATAAGGTGGGATGAGACAGGAACTCAATCTCTTTCAGTCTGAGGATTTTTTAGAGGTAAGAGCAGTCTAAAGGCTTGACTGCTTTGCTTTTCTGATCTTCAGGTTGAACCCCAATATCTGTCTCTGGGTTTGTATTATTTGTGCTACAGTTGACTAAGTCATGAGTTTATTGTTGTACCTCCCCCTCCCAGTGGTTCTCAGATTGACAAACTACAGATAATTAAACAGCTGTCACATCTGGGAGTGGTCTGAGGCTAAGTGAAGCGGGTGGTTCTGCCAGAATCTGGATATTTTATTCTGAGGATTATCTGTTTTCAAACAACAAATACAAAATGAGGCTTTGGGATCTGGCTGAAGAAGTCTCTCTGATGTGATTTTATTGGTGGTGTTTGGTTTGGTTTGGTTCTTTACAATAACAAGGAAGAAAGAATATGGTACAGGAGAAGGGTTGAATTCATTGAGTGCCATCCTGTCTTTGATGCCTTCACTGGGGCTGACCTCTATCTGCCCCTTTGGTGATGATTTCCTACGTTCAAGAGAAATTTGTGAAGCTACACTGAGTTCTGGGGTAAGATCAGATGTGTACTCCTGTGGGAAGGATAAACCTGCCAGCTGAGTGAAAACGCCCTCTGTCTCTTGACTGGTCATCGTCCAGGATAACATCTAGTTCACATCTGCCATTTTGCAGCCAAAACTCTGCTCCCATTCTTGCCCCCAAACTACAGTCCTTCCCAGTAGAGCATGGTGAGACAAGATGTAGGTGTGGCCTGTCCACTGCTTGACTTCAACTGCGCCCATCCCTTGTGTCATTTCCACTGTCCAAGCACCCATCAAGAGCTCTGGCTCTCCCTGACTGCCAGCCAGGCAGTCTTGCTGTGTGGAGTACTGTAAGCAGCGAGATTTTGTTCCACAGGAGAATATATGGATGAGCAAGGCCACTGCCGTGCCTGTGAAGCCTCATGTGCCACGTGCTCGGGACCCACTCAAGACGACTGTACCAGCTGCCCCATAATGAGGTGAGTAACCACTTAGGACTTCCTGGGGGTGGGGCGTTGAGAGGGAACATTAACTGCTTTAGTGGCACCTAATGGGCCTTCTGGACACAGGACCTTAACTCCTTCCCATGATAGAGACATTCCCTATGGTCTGGCCACAACCCACCTCTGTAACATCCTCTCCCACAAGGTCTAATACTCCTGGAAAAGACCAGTTTTCTAGATGCTGGAAGAGTTATCTTGCTAATGGAAATGGTACCTTCGATGTCACTTTTGACCAGTGAAATCCCATATCCTACACACTCATCCCTCAAACAGCACTTCCATCTTCTGAATATATAAATATACTCATTTCTATAATCAGCTCAAGGACAAACTATTGTGTAAAGGCAATTCTGACACTTCCCAGTAGAATTAGCCTTCCTTCTTTAAAAGAAATGCAGTTATTGATTATGTGTGGTCTATAGTCCCATGTACATGTGTGCTACAGCACTTGTGTCAATATCATAAGACAAGTTATAGAAGTCAGTTCTTGCCCTCTAACAAATGGGCCCTGGGGATCCAGCTCAGTTCCTCACAGCCTACTATGTCATGACCTTCTACTCTATAGATATTTCTGTCGGAGCATGTGTAGCCTTTGAAGATGTCTGCTTACAAAATACATGTCTTCATTAGACTCAATTTCTTGAGATCTTGCATTTGCATCTCCTTCCCTGGCAACACGCAAGAAAAACCGGAGGCTTCCCTACAGGTCAAATGGAAATAGCCAATAATGGAAGGAGCAACACTGCTAATCCAATGGACATCTCAATAGAGAGAATTGAAGGCCTGACATATGTTTAGTCAATGCTCCTCTGATTCTAGCACGTAATACTTGGGAGCTTCCAGGTTTTTGAATGAATGGCCTCAGCCCCGCTCAGCTAAATGTGTAAGGAGCTGAGTCTGTCTCTAGACAAGGTGGTTGAGGATGCTGTCACAGCGGGGAGGCGGGGCTCTGCAACCCTACTGAGGTGCTCCCTCTGCACAAGTGTCATTCTGACCTCATTCTTCCTGGGGACTGTGACACCTCTGTGATCAGGGGCTGTGCTGTATTTGTTTCTTTATTCTCCAAGTGATCAGCCTATAGTGACTGCTCTATAACTGTGGGCTTGCTGATCTGTGTGTCACCAAAGCCATGGGTTTGACTGTCAGAAGAACGCCCTCAGAAGGAAGAGGCCATAATAAAGGAAAAAGACCAAAAGGAAAGATGGAGGCAGAGAAGGAAGGATGAAGTAAAACAGAGAAAAAAGAAAGAAATAGAAACCTCAAGGGTTCCCAATGCCACCCATGAGAATATTTTCTTTATTTTCAAATTAAGAAAATGTAATTATATTCTACTGTTTTTTATAATACCTTGTCCATATTCCAGTCTCATCAATTATCCTAATAATATTATTCACAGAATATTTTTCCAGAATCTAGTTCTAAAGTTTTTTTTTAATTTTTTACATTTTCTTTGCCTTATTTTTTTGTTTGGCCTTTCACAATGTCTTAGTTTTAAAAATTGAATAGACCTGTTATTTTCAAATTTCAATATATATTTAATTTTTCTTTTTAAATTATATTTTTCCTTTTATATAAAATTAATTATTTGAGAACTTCTTACAATGTGGTTTAATCATATTGACTCCCTCCCCCAACTTCTCCCAGACCTCTCAACTTTGGGACATATATTTTTTTCTACCCACCAAGTCCAATTAGTTCTTATCTTGGATATGTGACCTTCTGATGCAATGTGGCCAACTTACCCAGGGCAACATTTTTAAAGAGAACTCATTTCCTCTCCCATCAGCCATCAGTTGCCAATAATTCCTCTACTAAAGGTGGGACTTCATGTTGGCCTTCATGCTGAGATTTTTGTCTTACTTAAGCATGTTCTGGGAGCTTTGTAAATGTTGTCACGGTCACTTTTAGTGTATATGTGCTGTGCTGTGCTATATGAAGGACTCTGTCTCCTTGTGTTTATCCATCATCTCTGGCTCTTTAGAGGTCTTTATGCCCATCTTCGACAATGACCCCTTAACCTTAGGAGGAGGGGTTATGATAAAGATATCCCATATCGGGCTGAACATTCTACAGTCTCTTATTCTCTATACCTTGGCTAGTTGTGGTTTTCTCTGTTATTCACCACTTGCTGCATATAGAAGCTATACCGATATGGTAGGAAGCTTCTATGGTAGTGGGTGGGTCCCCACCATGTCCCCTTCCTGTGGGAGCCCTCTTTCCTTTTTGGTCTATTGGCCACTGGGTCAAGAGGGCAAGAGGCACTAGTGATGACAGAAAACTTTGTATGTGACCCGTGAGCACAAACGGAGACAGCCCCCCAGGAGATAGATTTCAGTGAATCAGCTCAACTTTATTCCAGAGTGTGAGGAATATATAGAACTGGAGAGCCTGGGAGCAAACCCTAGTTTTCATTAGGTAGCACACTCCTGTCGTAAGGCTCCTAGCACAAGTCTTAGTTTTCATGTGTGTAGCAAGGGAGTCTTCTAGCAGGGATCTATGCCAGAGTTCAAACTAAAGATAAGTCAGGATCTGGTTTAGCGACAGCTTTCAGACAAGGTCAGCCTTCCAGGCCCGTGGACATTCTCCAGATAAGGGCAGGTAGAGGAAGGAAGTTCTGCTGGAGGGAGGGAGCTCCTTGTTGCCGAATTATTGAGATAAGCTGCCAGGCATAAGGAGGCTGAGACCTCTACCAGCCAGCAATGTCTTCTAACACTTACTAATTTCCAAACCTTTATGGATATTACAAATGAAGCAAACACATCTGAAAAGTCAAAACTAATATTCTAAAATGAGAGAAAATATACGACGTTTGTCTTTCTGGGTTACTTCATTCAGAATTATTATTTCCAGTTCCATCCACAGCACCATTTCAATTTGCCTCAGTCTGAATGGCTAAAAACAAAAGATGTTGGTGGCACGTGCCAGCAAGAACATGAGGAAAGGATGCTTATTCATTGCTGGTGAGACTGGAGTAGTCACTCGGAACATTCGTGTGGATGCTCTTCAAAAAGCTAGAACTAGAGCTCTCGCTGGTCCAGCTAGACCACTCTTGGACACTTACCCAAAGGATTTTATCTTATTACAGAGACACTTGCTCATCCATGTTCATTGCTGCCAGGAAATCAGCCTAGATGTCCAGCAACTGACAGATGAATAATGAAATGTGGCACATTTCTATAACAGAATAGTATTCAGCTGTTGCATTTTTAAATTATCAACTTATTTTATAGTCTTTGAAAGCCTTATACATGTATATGGTGAACTTTAGTTCATTTCATTCCCTACTGTCCTTTTTCTTTTTCCTTCTTTCTCCTACTGAAACTTCCTCTTTCCAAAAATGAGTTTAAATAGGGTTGTCATCATAAGCATGGATGAAAGGTCATTTAGTATAATGTGAGAAATTTATCAATGGCCACACGACTTAAGGAAATGGTAACTCTTTGTCCAGTCATCATTAACTGTCAATAGTCGCATGGGTAGGAGAAGGCCTTCACTAGACCTTTCTTATTCCATATTGAAATGCTGACAAGCCTGATCTTATTCAAGTCTCCTGCACATAATCACAGCTGCAGTAAATTCTTGAGTGCATTGACCATGTCATTTCCAGAAGACACTGACCTACAACCACCTTCCCCAGTTTCTTTCTGCCCCTTCTTCCATCATGCTCCCTGAGTCTTTGGAGGGAAGTTACTTAGATGTCCCATTCAGGGACAGGCCATTTATTCTCTGCACTTTGACCAGATGTCTTTGTATAAACTGTTATCTAGAGAAGCTCCTCTAAAGAGTGAGAGCTGAAATAATCTCCAGGTATAAAGATCAGTATTTAGAAGGCAGCTTGATATCATGTCCATTTAGTAAAACAATAATAGTATGTTCATGGCCAGACTTAGAATACCAGATATGAGCTACCTTCTGTGAAGTGGGCCTTAAGTCCAATCAGAAAGCAATTGATACCTTTATAACACTCTTGTCACTATTGCACTAACAGGCATATTTTGCCAGGCTAGTCATTATGACAGCTGGCAGGCTTCAGAGTTGGATGGGCTGTTGATGGCTTTTTCTATGAAAAGTCATAAGACTATTTTCTAACTGTCTCTAAGAGCTACCGCTCTAAATATTGAATTTGCTTTAAAGAAACTTCAAAGCACACTTTCAGATAAAGATATTACCAAAACAAAGTCCTATTTCTCCTTCTAGCCCCCATTTGTATGACTATGAATAATTAAATTGTCTTGCATGTTTGAACATCTTTGAACACTTTTCTAATGAGGCAATTACAATCATCCAGTGTACACTGGAGAAACCGTGGTTGCCCGTAGCACAAGAGAAATGAAAAGGAAGGGAAAAATTCTACCACTGTAAACGGCTACTTGAAAAAAAAAAATCTAGATACAAGGCCAAGCAGGCAGTGAAAGCAAGGTTCACCCTGATACGTGGTAAGACTGTTCGTACAAATGATAGGTAACGTTGCTAGCACATCTTGGTGCTTTTGTTTGTGCAGTATACTGAGTGTTAGCCTTTGAATAAATTAAGCATACACATGAATTGAACCAGGGTATCTTCCTAAGAAAATCTTATTCCCAGGAATAATTTCTTCTTGTTCCTCTGAGCATTCTTTCCTCCCCACATCTTTCTTCTTTGACGTCAGCTGTATACACACATGCCCAAGAAAGGGTAATGTAGCATGGCAATGAACTATTTGACTCTTTTTTCTGGCATTTTCCCTGAAGAGAGCTGAAAGATAAAAAGGAAGAAATTATCTGGAAAGAAGGTGATGTTGACTTATTTGTCCTTGAGGAAATGGCAAAGTATTTTCCTTATGTGTTTTCCAAAGTGTTGCCTGGATCCGTGTCTTGGCTCATTTGGGAGCTGCAATAACACAATACTTGAGACTGGATAAATTATAAACATTATAACATCGGCTAAATGTTACTGGGAACTGGGAGATCTATGTACATGCCGCTGGCCTTTGGTGATGGCTGGGTCACCCCACTGAAGAAGGTGGGAAGCAAGAGAGGGTGACAGTCACAGAACCAAAGGAAGATAGTCTGCTTTTATCGCTAACCTATTACCATGGTCAAGTCAGCTGCTGTGTAAGATTCCTCACTGGCTAATCCACTTATATTAAACCCTACTTCTCGGCCTTGTTGCTTTGTGTATCAAGTTTTCAACACTTACGTTATGTAGAATATGTCCAAGCCATAGTAATTGGAGTCAGGTCCATGCAAAGTAGGGAGAAAGCACTTGCTTTATATTTAGCTCTGAGATAGCTATGGCATCTAACAGCTCTTTAGGACACTGTCCCTGCCATTGAGGTTGCAGCCAAGGGATGCTGAGATGCTCAAGCAAGCAATGGTGGGAGAAGTTCAACAGCCCTAGTTTTAAAGCAGGGGTTGGACCTGTGAAGAGATAGATTTGCCAGATGTTGAAGAACAGGGGACACAGACTCTGCCCTGCCATAGAGGAAAGAAGCTAGCTTGGGTGGAAGAGCCCAGTCTCTTGTCCCAATTTCCTAATGATGTTTCCTCTTGTTTAAAACTAACTGGAGGCCAGTGGGGAGTCTACCTCCCAAATGAGGATAATTGATGACCCTGAGATAGAAGTTTTAGTGGGCTCATTTCCAGAACAAAAGAGGACAGAAAACAGCAAAGATGGATCTGGACCGAGGACAGGAGAGAGATAACCTGGAAGGCTGGTCTCTGAGCTTTTTCTGGTTCTTTCGCTGTTGGATCCCTTTAGTTCCTGGAAAACAAAGACCGTCTTCGGAGAACTTCCACCTGTGACAAGAATGTTAACACTAACTTTCGGGTTAGCTTCAAAGATGAATGAGTAAATTGGTGGAAAGAAAATAAGATTAGCCAGGTGCTAGCAACTGTTGAAACTGAATGATACACACCATGGGGGGGGGGGGCAATTATCCTTTCCATATGCAATACCTACTTCTCTATCTCTTTAGATTTTTCTACAATATTTTTAAGAATTTAACTCTGAAGTTGTTTTACTAAACACCAGCAAAAAATAAAAACTAAAATAAAGTCCCACTCTTTAAGTTAGGTTGGCCTGAAACTCACTGGGTAGGTAGCCTATGCCTGCCTTAAACTCGTAGCAATCCTCCTGCATCAACTTCTCCAGCGCTAAGAGTAGAGGTGTGATCCAGGAGCCCTAGTGAAAAGCAGAAATTTAGAAATCACCTTCACATCTTGGGGTTTCTTTTTGCATTTCTATAAACCTTTTGTTCAGCTCTTTAAAGACAACTTGGAATGTGAAGCAATAACCCCTTAGCTCTTTATGTAACAGGCACTGCTCTGAAATGCTCTGGTCCTCTTTGCCTAGGCTCACTTCCTAGTCTTGCAGAAGTACAGGGTAAATAAATCTAAATAAAAGCATCTAGGAGTTACCTCTGCTCTTACACAGCCTTAAGCATTCCACTTGATCTGTTTCAATGAAAATAGAGAGAGGAAAGGCTTTTCATCAAGTTTCGCTGCATTGAAATACTAATACAACAAGTAGTTATGTGAAATGCCCTTGTGATGACTTTAATTAGGCCAAGCTAGCAATCGACACACAGACAGCCCTGACTCGCCAGGTCTTCTGTTAGGATTCCCATCTTTCTTTGACATGGACCGCCATGTGTGTGAGTGTTGCCTTAAAGCTGGGACACACTCTGCAGAAGACCAAGAAGTAGACTGTTTCCAGTGGTGCTGAGATTGGTTAGTAGAAACTGAGGGAGCAGGGAGCCAAGAGTAAGGTGACCTTTTGTGTTTGCTTGTGGGCTTGAATCCCTTTCTATTTCCAGACTGATGCAAATGGCACAGCGAAGGGAACGGATGCTTTACTCCCAACTTCTTCCAGTGCTGGGATTGATATAGACAGCTCCCCAATTATGGTTGACTCCCTGTAAGCAGTGGGCTTAAAGAAGCCAGTGCCTCCACAGGAGTAAGTTTCTGGAGGCTTCCACCTAACAGTGTTGTGTAATGTCCAGTGTGCTGAGAGGTGGTATAGAGAAAAAAAAATTTCCTTCTCTGTGCTGCCCCCTCTGCTCCTAGATTTGGTAGCACAATTATACTCTCAGGGATATGGTCTGCACTTAGTTAACCTTATAACCAGCAAGACTAAGACTAAGTATTACTCTTAGGAAAGTCTACAAGACCCCATTTTGGCAATGCCTGCATTACATGGGCTCAGTTCTTAAGCACCCCACAGCAATCTAGATGTTCACAGAGCAATGACTTTCCAAGTAATGTCTATAGGGTCCACAGAAAATGGTGTTAGCACACCAAAAATGCATCAGAACTCCTGTGTTATGACCGTACCATTTACAATGACTAAGATATAATGAATCTTGCTACCCAAATGACAGATGAATTGATGAAGAAATGGAGTATATAAACACAACCAATTATCTTTCAATCATAAAGAATGAAATCCTGACATTAGCAGCAAAATGATATTGTATTAAATGACATAAGTCAGACTAGGACCAGTACTGCATATTCTTACATTGGCTTGAGGAGAGCAGAACTAGTCAAACTGAATGTAGACCAGTGATTATGAGAGGTGAGGAAAGGTGGGGAGGGAAGTGTGACAGAGAAAGATTGGGTAAGAGAGAGAAGAAGGTTTAGGCACCACACAGCATAGGCCACAATCCCCAATTGTAGATTTTTATGAAGATTCAGACCAGAGGAGCTTGAGGAGTCCAATCATAAAGAAATTATAAGGAAGGAGAAACGGTAACTGCCCCGATGTCATCAGTAGATGCTGAGCATATGTGCAGAAACACCACACCGTGCTTCATTATCATAGACAATCGCTGTATGCAGGTCCAAGCAAAACTTTAAATAATGAGTAAATAATACAGCTTTTCAAATGTGTGCCCTCTGGATCAGTAACGTTAGCACTGCCAGAAAAATTGTCAGAAATGCAAGTTTTCAGTCTTTTTTCCCTGAGCTCGACTGAATTAAAAACTCTGGAGGTGCAACCCCGGCACCCTTCATCTGTTCAACTACCTATCTGATTCCTACTTTTATCTTACAAACATTTTGTGTTGTTCCGAGCAGAATGCTTGGACTTGGTTGACTTAATCCCATCTGCTCTTATGATTACTCGGCAAAGAAAGATGAAGCCCAAACACAAAAATATTAGCAGTGGCATCCTGACGTATAGCATGCACATGTAAAACCGAAGGTTTTAGAAGCCCATTTTCTAACTTTCGTGCCGGGCCTTTGTGGGTGTTTGTGAGCACAATCCACATAGGAGGAAATGAAATCCAAGTTCGTTTAGAAGTTATGATGTGCATAAGGCAACTTCGTGGGTGGTCTCCAGCCTTCAGAAGAGTGCTTCATTCTACTCTTCCAGGGCACTTAGATACGACACACCGCTCGCCAGCCATGGGCATGGTGAAAGAATGCCTTCTCCAATGCCTCTGGGTTCAGAGGCCCAGTTAGCATCCTGAAAGTCAGAGACTGTATCTGATATTAGCTGGATTTGACCCAGAGCCTTCGATATGACCTCAATCTGCATGAGCCCAGTTAGCTTATTTGGAAGCAGATTCGGGATCAGCTCCCTTGCCAGTTTCTGGTTTGCCTGCTGATGGATCCACATCTTGGGCTAAGGATGGATCTGTGACTAATATCTCGCATGCCCTGAGATGACCAGCCCCAGGCATCACTCTCTGGGACAATGAGAACAAATCCATACAGGGAAGCATGCACACCATGTGTTCTGATTCTTGGCTCCTTCCAAAAAGTCACCCAGATGAACTCTCACGGCCTGCTTTTCCTCCAGGGTTTTTGATGATGGCCGCTGCATGTTGAATTGCCCCTCATGGAAGTTTGAACTCAAGAAGCAATGCCATTCCTGCCACCACAGTTGCCAAGGATGCCGAGGAAGAGGGCCTTCCAACTGTACCTCCTGCGGAGCAGGTGAGGGCAATCGCTGCTGGCTCCTCCCTCCTCTGGGTCTGTTCTCTCACAAGCCAGCATTTGGTTTGGCTCAGAAGTCTTGTGATGGTTCCTGAGGTTCAGAGCAGACAGCTGTTCATTACAGCACCGGAACAACCTGAAGGCTCTGTTGCCTTCAGGACACACAAACCTCGTTCACATAATCGGACAGTTGACTCACTGCCTCTAAGGAGGTGAGGGAAGCAAGAGGAAAGTCTCTTAAGTGTGTTGTCAAGCATGGCATGCAGGCACAGTAAAGTCAAGCTTTGTGGTGGTAGACCCGAAAAGCTAGAGGATTAGCAAGACACACGTGGTCCCTAAACCAATAATACATGAAAGGTTATGTCAGGTCTCTGAGCCAAGCTATGCCATTTAGATGACAAAGTAATCAGTTCACTCACGGCAGACGTGACCTTTTGGGCCAGTCTGAGTTACTCTCAGAGTATCTGCCATCACTGGAGTGGAGGCCATGCCCTCCAGCTTCCTCTGCGGTTGAACCCTTGACCCTGCTCCAGCCTTGTTTTGTGTCTATCATGTTTTGTCTTCATGTGAACCGGAATCATATTATTTTGCCTAGAGAGTCAGTAGAGTTTCAGTGTGAGGCAAATTTAAATTTTGTGCAGTTTTAAAGAAAAGAACTGTGGATTATTGGTCACCGCTGAATATTGGTCACACACCGCATGGTGTGTGGTTGCACTGGACCCATCTTTCCCAAAGATTTGTCGGGGTGGAGCCTGAAACAGGCTACTCTGCTTCTCTCCACAGTCCTCCCTGTGTGTAACTGACCCTGAGGTGACTGTTAGCATCTTATCCATTATATTTATGTTATTTGTCTAGTGAAAGAGATTATTTTTAAAACCAAGAAAAATGAAACAACAAATGACATTTTAGGTTGACAGGAACACAGAAAAGAGCCCCGCACTTCTCTTTCACACATCTTACTTATCACTCTTAATATCCACCTTGTCCATAACAACTCTGTGCCCCAGAGGAGCGGTGAACGCTTCCTACCTGTTCTCTACAATGCTCTGAACAAGAGGCAGCATCTGGCATGTAGACTGTGTACATACAAAAGATAAGGGAGAGAATCCATGGTTCAGGAAGACCCTCAAGACTAGGGAAATGCACAACTCACCCAACATCCTCAATGGATGGATGGATGGATGGATGGATGGATGGATGGATGGATGGATTTCTGACAAGGCCTCCTATATCTCAAGCTGCCCCAAACTCTCTATGTAGCTTAGGAAAACCTTGAACTTTTGATCTTCTTATCCCTACCTCCTCAATGCTAGGATTAGAAGCATGCACCACTATGCCTGGTTTTATGCAATACTGGGGTTCAAACCTAAAGCCTTACATATGCTAAGCAAGTTCCCTACAACTGAGCCGCATCCCCGGTTCCCAGCTTTCTCACTAACTAGAAGACACTTCACTTCTGTAAGCCTCTTCTTATTTGTTTAAAAAGAAAGGACAAATGGGCATTTACAATCCCTTTCCCACCCAGCACTCCACATCTCAGCATATGCCCCTCAAGTAGAACAGAGTTCAGTTCTAACCAAATGGCAAATAGTCTCGCATCTTACTACTACTTGTACCAAACCGCATGAAAAGGACTTTGACATTTTTCCATATTTTATACTTGAAGGGCTGCATCTCATCTATCGTCTTAAATATTAAATGCCTCCCTCTGTTGCACAAGTTACAATTAGAAGCAATGGAGAATATAATAAACGGGAGCATGATGTATGATGGTTAAGTGTTTGCTAACTTGACCTGATTGAGAAATGCCTCATAGATTAGTGAAGGAAATCTCTGGAGGTTTCCAGGGAGGATCCACTAAGAGGGAAATTCCACCCTTAATGTAGGCTATACTATCCCATAAGCTGGGGTCCAGATGGAGGGGTGGGGGATGAGAAAGCCACTTAGTGGGGGAACTCCTCTCTGCTGTGTGACTTCAGGAAGTGAGCATCTCTGCTCCACCATGACCTCCTTGCCAGGATGCACGGACACCCTTGAACTGAGAGCCAGGATAAATCTTCCATCCGTCCCCTTACGTGTTTATGTTGGGTATTTTCTGTCACTGCAATGAAAAAGCTGACTCACTGTCAAGGAGTTTATAGAATAATAAGGAGGTTGGTCCTCACGTACTGGACAATAAGATACTATCAGATAAGGGCCAAATGAGTAGTCAGAAAGTGGCCGCAGATCATTTCCATATGTGATAAGCAGAGGTTTTCTGGAGAGGGCAATTGTTTATCAAGCTCTTATTTAACATGCTCTCTTTACATCAAAAGCTCATGCTGACATGGCAGGGCTAATCTATGCCCTGAGGTTACCATGCTGAAGATCAATGCTTCACCGCAAGAAATTCCAGAAAGGAAGTTTCAATAAAAGGCTGAAATGTCCGAAAGTTCACATGGTTTAGTCCAACATTATACTGACTTTCCACTTCTGTCCCTGCAACAAGGAGTTACTGCTGACTTTATACACACACTCAGTGTCCCTGCAGCCTGACGGTCAGGGTTGGATCTCTGTGTGGCGGCTCACCCGCTGAGTGAATGCTAGACCCAGGTAATTCGAGGCAACACAGATCAGCTATTCTTCAGACATAAGGCCATATGGGAAGTCTGGGTCTCAGAGAAATGAGTAGATGGTTACCCAGAGCATGCTGAGCACTGTGACTCCCCAAAACCGGGAGTAAGGGGCCCCTAGGTAGATAGGTAGTATTAATCTTAATGTTGTTTATAAAAAAATATTTGAGGCTGTTCATAATCCTCTGTAACTGATCTTGATGTTTGTCTTACTGATTAGATTTTTCTGGTCTCTCCAGGAACAAATTCCCATGATCTGTCATTGCTGGGAAATGACAGATTCTTTTCTCATAATGCCCAGTGTTGACAGACTAAAACCCGTAGGGACGATGTGAAGTTGTGGAGGTGTGCTTGATTTAGGGTGGCAATAAGGTGGAACAATTAGTGGCTTTGCAAAAACCCAGATATCAGTCAGCACAAGCTTGTGACTTTACTAGTGATTCCAGATCATGGTAAGATTACACTGCTAGCGAGTGTGCCTGCCACGAAGCACGTGTTTGTTGTTATGGCATCTCTGTAACCCCCAAGCCTGAACGGGTCTACCTTTACCCCAAGGAGCCCTTAGGAAAGTTGAACACATTCCAAATTGTAGCAATCCGCAGAACACGGCTTGTGGTTTTGCAATGACATCCCAAATAGAAGTTGTTCGCTCGAATATATAAAACAGTGTAAAATGATTCCCTGCAAGGAAAACTTTTCTGCGATAAGGATATAGATATTGCACTTTTTTATTAAATCCATTCTGTTGCTCGTGGTCCCCTAGGAACAAAAGCACTCAGTTGTTTCTCTTTTTAATAAAACATCTCACATTATATGAGCTCCATGGCTGCTTTTGCATTTTCTCTTTCCCTCGCCCTTCTGACTGGTCAGACAAGCATGGTCGGGAGCGCTTCCTGTACCAGGGAGAATGTCGAGAGAGCTGCCCTGTGGGCCATTATCCTGCCAAGGGACATGCCTGCCTGCCCTGCCCAGACAACTGTGAGCTTTGCTACAATCCACATGTCTGCAGTCGATGTATGAGAGGCTACTTCATCGTGCCCACCAACCACACCTGCCAGAGGCTGGAATGCGGACAAGGTGAGGCTTCTGCGGGGTCCTACTCAGCACCAGGACGTGGGGTGACAGATTACACCTCGGGCACAGGGGAGGATTGGACTGCCTTATTGCCAATTATCACAATGTTATTATGAACACTTAGAATGACTCTGAATAGCTCAGTCAGCAAGTGAGGCTGCAGGTATTTTCCCTTCCCACTTCCCAGGCCCACAACTCCCAAGCAGCAGAGAAAAACTGAGGTCAGAATCTCAGTCTTGGCCAACAGTTTTCTTCTCAGTTACTAGGTATGAGACTATGGGCAAAACTAGTCTAATTTATCCATGCCTTGGGGCTTTATTTGTAAAGGAGCAAGTATAACACCAAGTAGGACTGCCCATGAGAAGCACAGAAAATCAGTATACCTAATACTATTTGAAACTTTTGAATGTTCTGTGAGTTGTATGTTGTTATCACTGTTCGATTTCTTTGCTATATTGGAAGATGATAAATTTAGCAGCATCGATTGTTTTTGGTCTCTGCTATATAAGGACTATGGGTAGCCCATGTCTAAAGATGGTTTCAAGATATTTTAAATGAAGCACCCTTTCTATTTCTCCTTCCTGTTCACAGAGACAGTAATTTTTTTAATTTGAAATGTTTGGTAAGTTAGACATAGAGTCTGATCTTTGTATATCTAATTCCATTTTCCTAGACTCAGAGCTGACTTACTGAATAAATCTAATCTACCAGCTTTACTTTAAAATTAGTTATATGACCAACCATGGTGGTTCATGGTTATAATCTCAGTACTCAGGAAATGAAAGCAGTGAGTTTAAAGCTAATTTAAGCTACATAGTGAGTTCCAGGTCAGCCAGAACTACACAGCAAAAAAATCAAAGCAAATCAAACAAGCAAGCAAAAAGACCAGATATATGGAATATAGGCTAAGTCTGTTCGATTTGTGCCCACCTGAGTAGTTCAGTCTGTTAAATTAATATGGGATTTTAAAGCACATAACATCCTTCTTCAAGATGGTTTCAGGTTTCATAATTGTTCTGTGATTCACATAGAAATAAACCACACACCAAATATGTTTTCTAGCAGTGTACATGCCTCTAGCCAGTGTCTTTAAGTGGTGTTTTCCATTCCTCTCCCTGTTCAGGTGAATTCCAGGATTCTGAGTATGAAGAATGCATGCCTTGTGAGGAAGGATGTCTGGGATGCACTGTGGGTATGTCATGTTCCTTTGTTACTTAAAATGTTTAAATAGCTGTGACCCTTGTCATACATGCTGCTGCTACTGCTTCAGGAAGGAGTCTTGTCATCAAGGTACTTATCAGTGTCCCCATCACTATCCCAGTACAGACAATGTCACAGTGTCCTCATCACTACCCCAGCACAGACAATGTCATGGTGTCCTCATCACTACCCCAGTATAGACAATGTCACGGTGTCCCCATCACTACCCCAGTACAGACAATGTCACGGTGTCCTCATCACTACCCCAGTACAGACAATGTCACGGTGTCCNTGTCCCCATCACTACCCCAGTACAGACAATGTCACGGTGTCCTCATCACTACCCCAGTACAGACAATGTCACGGTGTCCTCATCACTACCCCAGTATAGACAATGTCACGGTGACCCCATCACTACTTCAGTACAGACAATGTCACGGTGACCCCATCACTACTTCAGTACAGACAGTGTCACAGTGAGGAGATGCTTGTGAGACAATAGTGTCAAGCTTAAGAAAGGATGGCAATATCTGCCCCTGGCACTCAAACTCTTCTTTATCGAGCTGTCAAATAAAATCAAACAAATGCCTGTTAACACGATAGTGGGTAGAGAGATGGGGAGATCTCCTTTTGTGAAAATGACTCCATTGCTTGGAGTCTAAGACAATATGGTGATGGTGAAGTCAAAATTCCTGTTACTCAGTTCAATTCCCAGCAACCACAGCGTGGCTTACAACCATCTGTAATGAGACCTGGTACTTTTTCTGGCCTGCAGGCATACATGGAGGCATAACACTGTGTACTAAATTAATAAATTATTTGATAAATAGATTCCTGTTACTCAACAAAAGCATATATACTCTCTAGTTCAAGCTTGTGGCTCCCTTATCCCTTCCTCTCACACTGCTGGTTCTGGGGTGAAGGAGAAGATGGGGTTGGTTTATAGCACACAGCATCAGTGGATTTGATGAAAAGCATAAAATAAGGGGACTGTGATTTCAAGACTGCACTTTTACATAAGTCTAGGCAGCATATAGAAAAGAGCATACAGAATCTGTATAGGAAAACCCCAGTGGGAACAAAGTCATTTCTCCTTGTGGGGCTTCTGTGGAGGCCTGCGGTGCCTCTAAGATGTTACTATGTACATATCACATGGGAAATTTCTCAGGATGCAGAACAAGCTGTTCAGTGGGAACATTGCAGTAACTCTATAGACCACTTGTGAACTGTTAGATTACACTGCAGCTAAGCAGACCTCTTACTGGCCTTACCCACTTAGACTTGTTTGTTTGTCTGTTTATTCTTCTCTCATACAATACATCCCAACCATAGTTCCCATCCGTCTACTCCTTCCTGCCCCTCCTCTCCCCTCTCCTCCAGAACTCTTCCTCCTCCATTTCCCTTCAAAAAAGAGCAGGCCTCTCAAGTCTATCAAGCCAACACAGCATGACAAGATACAAGAAGTCTAGTCAAAAATCCTTATATCATGACTGGATGAGGCAACCCATTAGGAGGAAAAGGGTTCCAAGTTCAGGTGAAAGAGTCAGAGACACCCCCAAGTGCTATTAGGAGTCCCACAAAAACGCCAAGCAACAACCATAACATATATGTGGAGGACTTAAAGCGGACCCATGAAAACTCTGTGATTGCTGCTTCAGTTGCTGTGAGACCCTGTAAGCCCTGCCTAGTTAATTCTGTGGGTTATGTTCTCCTGGTGTCCTCAACCCCTCTGGCTCCTACAATTTTTCCTCCCCCTCTTCTGTGACTTCCTTAATTCTTAAATATTATGCATGAGCTATAGTTTATCTGAGACATTAGGAACATGAATAGCATTCTCTTGTTATCATCTATTGTGGAATAAGGAGAAGAAATACAGTAATGGAGTAAAACTTCAGAAGGAGGTGGCAGGCAGAAATTTATGGGCAAAATTCTAAGTGTCTGGGAAGCAAAATTAACGTTAAATGCAAATAATGAAAGAACTACAATTAAAACAATGGCCACTTTGTTTTATACTTTGCTTATGGATATTTTGTGTGTTTTGTCATATTCTGTTTTTGCAGCTATACCCAAACTACAGTCTTTCTTAGGAAGTGATAGGAGATCTTGATGGCAGCGATGATGGAGGCTCTGATGGTCTTGATTTTACTTTAATCCATCTCAGACATATTTTCCACTTAGGTATCTACCCCAACTGGATTTCTTTGGAGCGTTTACCTATGCTGAATGTACATGCCTGCATCTTTGTGGTTCACAGTGGTGGGCTGAGTGTTTGAGTGCATTCGGGGGACAAATCCTAAACATTTTGGCTCTCTTGATGGTGTTCCATAATAACAACAGAACAAATCCACTAAGTTAAACACAGAAGAATAAATTTTCCTTCCACATCTTTAAAACAGCCTAAAAAGGATGTACCTTTGATCATTGCCTCTGACTCAGATATCATCCTGAACGGGGTATAGAGTTATATGACATGATTCTATGGGAATGAGAATAAACATTTACTCATCCCAAATGAAGAACTGATGAGAGACCAAAGTGCAGATACTACCCAAGTGCAGCTTGGTGAGCCCACGACGTTCTTGGGGTTACTTGCAGGAATGTAGGCAAGGGGATACTCACAAGAGTATAAGTGACTCAGACAACTACATCCTCAAAGCCCACCCCAGCCTGGGTGACGGTTCACGAAAGCTGGGAAACCTGGAACATACACTACGTTGGAGTGTGTCCTTTCCAAGCTTCTCAGTTTTCCTAATTCTTGTCTGAGAGCATTTGTCATCAGTCCTCAATGCATATATACGTGTGTGTGTGTGTGTGTGTGTGTGTGTGTGTGTGTGTGTGTGTGTGAAGAAAAGATCCTAGTGAATCTGGTCAGTTACAGGGACTTCCTGAAGTTCTTCTGAGATGTTTGCTTTCTGAACTTAATGAACTTCCCTGCACGACGGAATGTTTCACGTCCCCATGTAAGCACCCTATAGCTTCTATTTAACTGATAGATCAGTAGGATTTGCTTTACGAAGTGCTATTGGCATATCCAATTCCTTCCTTCATTTAGGAGACGTTAGCTGTCTGCTGTGTGCCGGGTACTCACCATGGCACTGGGATTTCAAAGGTGACATGACAGGCACCTTGTAGAAAGGCTGTGTCACTAGAGACGCACCTGGAATGAAGCTCTTTGTAAGGTTGGCCTAGAGTGGAGGGAGGTTCGAGTGCAGCAGGGTCACCAGGGAACGTGACAAGAACAGCCAAAGTGCTGAGTTTTAACATCTTAAATTCTAATATTTTTCTTCGTTTATAAAATGTCAGTGTGTTGGGTCTTGTGTGTTCTTGAACTGACTTGCCTGATCTCAACCATGACCTCATTTCTGAGCCTTTGTAATCTCTCTAGTGGAATGAGCCCTCCCTCTCTCCCTTTCACGTGCAGATTCCTATGACACTGGTCTAACATTTGGTGTGTGCATATCTTTCTGCCTGACACCGAAGGGCTTGCTTGAGAATAAGCTCGCTGACTTACACAAGCAAAGCAGCAGACCAGGATCCTAAGGCACACACAGTTGATATGCAAATGTCCCTCACTTGTGGTGATCTGGCTTAACAATGTTCTGTCACACCATGGTGTGACAATGACCTTAGGGTTTAAAATTAGGATCTTTTTATGCACTGACAGTGTGCGCGCTATGCACACAGAATTCCCTTATATTGCTGTGCAGCAGCAAACCACAGCTGTTAAGAGGCCACCAGCTCAAGTCAACAGCCAATACCATGCAGTGTGCTGTGTGACCAAAAATTCTTCAGTATAGCACATGAGATAACTAACGTTTGATTACAAAATAATCTTGTGTTAGAGGCACTTGCTCAAGTGTTCTGAGAATGTATGAGAGACAGTCTGGGTCCTAGGCTCTAGGCTATGCTATAATGTTTGGTGGATCATGAGCATTAAACACAGTTTTGTCTTAACAGTATGCTCCATTTATGTCTATCAGGACATAATTCCTCTGTAAGTTTGAAAAAATACATATAAATACTTCCTGGGTTGAATTTGAGGGTTTCCCAAGTTTAAAACAGAAAGGATAGTTCATGAGACTCCGGGTTCAGAGTCAATATTTTCTCTAATTAAATTGTGTTCGCAATCCAAGAAAAGAAAAAATCATACATTAAAAATGATTTTATAGACTATTAGAACTGAAAGATTTGATAAAAATGTGTTTCATTCCATGTTATAGTTTTAAGCAGGGAAGAATGGGAACTTTAAAAGATATGAATAACTTACCAAGATTTGCCCAAAAGGCTTCTTGTGAAGCAAAACGTCATCCTTTGGAGAGAATTTCACTTTATTCCATCTTAACAATGCAGATTCTTTCTGAAAGGGTCTAGACAATCCCTGGAGGAATCGGAACAAGTAGGAGCAGACATCTGAGACATTTTTATGTATGCTATGTCATAAACAGTTGTTGTGGATGCTAGGGATATCTTGAGAGTTTTGTATTCCTTTTCAGAGACTTAGGACACTATAGATTAATGTCTGTGTTTCACAACTAATAAAGGAAAACTCAATTTCTAGGTTGATGGGAACTGCAGCCAGCTCCAGGGAGGAGCTAGGTCTTTTCAGTTCAAGAAATATTTTCATAAAGGAGACAGAAAACTAACCCATGACCAAAAAGTGATTGCTTTGTCTGGAGGAAAGCACTGAATTTGATCGTCTAGGGTGGAGCTGAGGGAATATTTATTGTTATGGAGTGAGGTTTCTCTTCCTTATCAGGCTATAAACAACACAACATTCCTGTTTTCTTCTAAGAATAATTGACATCAAATTCTTTGTCTTTCTAACAAGTATTTTCAGTTGGCATTTTTCCCAAAGGAAAATCTGAGGGTTTGGGGTTCTATTTTGACTATTTGGGGTAAAGTATATAAAGCAATTTGATGTCTTAAGGTAAATCTTTCACAGTTTTAATTTAATGGATGTAGTATAATTTGAGATTTGAGGTCCATACCTAT